AGTGTTCACTGTATAAATTAAATATAGATTTTTATCACAGCTGTTTTGTTGTTTGATGATCATTAATGACAGCAGCAGTATTTATAGGCCGCTGTCCCTTTAAGACCTGATGCATGGATCCGATATAATGATACACTTCACATCCGATTTCTTTCTCAGCTGTTTACCTGAATGATTGTCGAGATGGGTATTTTGTCATAATTTTATGTGTATGTGTATGTTCAAAGGATTAAGAAGAGGATTCAGTTTGCTGTTCGCGCTTCATGTGTGTGTGGCTGTGCTCGTAGAGAACAGCGCGCGAGTAACGAATCGCGTTCCCTTTCGCCTTTTCTCTCTGGAATTGTTTAAAATTCGCTTGCTTGTGTAAATACGAACAAATGATAAACTTATACTCTATTATGGTTAAATGTTGCAATTAATTCGCGGATCACATGCGTGCCGAACTGTGGGGCTTGGTCCGTACGGATCACGGATCAACTACGATCCGTTTAACCACTAATAATAAATAAGTTGCACTAGTAGTAAAATAAAAATTAAGCTAAATCGAAATATTAAAAAAATTAATAAAAATTATAAAATTACTCAAACATAAACTAAAATTAAAATGAAAACTTAAAATATAAAAAATAAAATCTAATTCAAAATATTATACAATATAAATTGCAGACAAATAGAACACAATACAGACAGGTGTTCTGCAGTGCAGGACGAGAGCAGCACCTGTGCACACGCTGTTTTGAATGCCACGGCCAAAACACAATGACATTCAGACTGACCGCAGGGTAAACAGCACTCATTGGGCCTGTGATCTCTGAGAATGACTCAATGAGGACGAGAGCGGGACCAAACACGCCTGCGCTGAGTGCGCTCCACCCAGCTGTGGTTTCACCCATTTACACACCCAACCTCTGCCTACCTCCACATCCACATCAGCAGGCAGAAACCCAAACATCAAACTCCTCTCTGTTTCAATAAAACGTTCCCTCACTCGAAGTAATGATAATAATAGAGTCATTTGTTTGTGAACTGGACTACATTGGTTGTGCCGCATGTTCTTGATTCACTAAAAAGAACCCATTTAAAAGAGTCATTTGTTTGTGAATTGGACTACATTGGTTGTGCCGCATGTTCTTGATTCACTAAAAAGAACCCATTTAAAAGAGTCATTTGTTTGTGAATTGGACTACATTGGTTGTGCCGCATGTTCTTGATTCACTAAAAAGAACCCATTTAAAAGAGTCATTTGTTTGTGAATTGGACTACATTGGTTGTGCCGCATGTTCTTGATTCACTAAAAAGAACCCATTTAAAAGAGTCATTTGTTTGTGAATTGGACTACATTGGTTGTGCCGCATGTTCTTGATTCACTAAAAAGAGCTGATTCAAAAGAGTAATTTGTTTGTGAATATATATATGATAGCGTCCACGCAGAGGGTCCCTGGCCATCCCTGTGTTTCTGTTTCATGGCCAATGCTTTGTTTGATAAACACAGGGTGGTTTCCAATAAAAATGACACTTCGCATTCCACATGGATCACTGACTTCCTCAACACTAACCATGAATAATGAAATACCACAAGACTCGCAGGTAAAGACGACGCCGGATAACGCATCGCGGCTCGGGTGCCGCAGGTGTCCGCATCCCCGTCATGACATTTTGCTTAAAATAGGACGCTGCGCGCGCCTCGGGGGATGCGTTCGCTAGGTGCGTGTCCGTGTCTTTACGGAGGAATGACAGAAAATCAACAATGAGCCGGTGCGGGGATCAGCTCGAGCTCTCGAGCACCGGCTTATGGGTGTGGAGGGTGTCATATGATTTATAAGAATCATTTGTTTCGTGAATTGGACCACACTTGTTTTGTTTTGTTTTATGTTTCTGATTCACTATAAAGAACTGATTTAAAAGAGTCATTTGTTCAGTAATTGGACTACACTGGTTGTGCTGTATGTTCTTGATTCACTAAAAACATCTGATTTAAAAGAGTCATTTGTTTGTGAACTGCTGTCTGTACCTGATTCACTAAAAGGAACTGATTTAAAAGGTAAATTAGACTACACTGGTTTGCATGTATGTTTCTGACTCACTAAAAAGGAACCAATTTAGAAGAGTCATTTATTCATGAATTGAACTACACTCTCTATGTTACTGCGTGCATCTCGCGTTCAATGGAAGTGTTTTCTTGGCATCTTTTACGATAAACACCCTTTTTATCTTATCAAATTCAACTCTAAATCTAATTTGGACTGCAAAAATTTGACTGCATAACTGCAGATTCAAAAGCAGATGTGGATAAATAAACAATGGCAAATTAAGATTGATCTTGGGATTTCAAGAATCAAGATTGAAGATTGTGATTAATCTGAAAAATCAATTTGCATGAACACAAACTCTTCTGCATTACATGCGTCTGGAAACATACACCACACATGTACATGAACTCTTATGTTTCTAGCTATGCAAGTTTGATTTAGTGAATTTTGCACTCTACAAATGTGCAATTCATTAAGAAACATTGCATTCTCAAGATGCGCTATTGCAGTTAGCGCAAAATGTCTTCTAATACAGTCAGCGTTTTTTTCAGAACAACTACTGTCATGGAGAAGCAACAGTTTGGCACATTAAGTTAGTTAAGCTGTTGACATATTTATTTCTAGCTACTTGGCACATTTGGTTTGGACACTAAGTATGAACAAAAGGACCAGCAATGCATTGGTCAAGAATTCATATATGTGCATTGTGTAAAGCATGTTTCCACCCTAAAGGTGCTTCAACAATTCGTTAACTTCCAAATGCCAACTTTTTCAACACCACTGGTTCCAAAGATTTTAGTTTTTTTTATTTCATTCATTTTTCACCCAGAAATTTAAAAAAAGTCTTTGTTAAAGAGTTATAAACCATGAACCAAACCAACCGGCTACGAGGAGAATTGCAACATACGAACTTTGATTTGACACAAAACACTATTTGAAAATCGGACAAAAATATAAAGGTACCAGAATGTGTACTAAACTCCTTAATGAGGGAAAGAACTACAATTCCATTAAGCAATGAAAAACAATGGAGAATATATAAAATTATTGATTATGCATATAGAAACATATTTTACGTTTATTGCTAAATATGCACATATTTAAGTAGTTTGAGAGCGTACGGAGATTTACTAGGTTACGTCATTTGCAGTGCTTCATGGGAGTGGCCGGAGCTCATTTGGCACAAGTTGCTTTATCGTGATTCTCTGATTGGTGGATTTTTTTTTTTTGCAGAATCATGGGTAATGTAGCTTTTTTGTTTGCCAGGAATTCCACCTTGGCGAAACACACTCTCTTCTCCAAACCCCGCCCTCTAAGGACATGTGAGCCAATCAGACGACAATAAAATGCATTAGTGCCCGCCCACTTTTTTGCACTGTTGGTTCCAGAAGTTTTTTATGTTTATTGCAATATATGCATATATATACAAATATTTAAGTAGTTTGAGAGCATATGGGAGTGCTTTATGGGAGTGGGCGGAGCTCATTTTGTGCAATTTGCTTGTCGCGATTCTCTGATTGGTGGAGATGTCTTTACAGAATCATGGGAAATGTAGTTTTTCGCCAGGAAATCTGCTGTTAAACATTTCTTTTAAAATTAAGTTGAAATAATGCAGGCTGATGTCTTCAACTAACGCATAAACCATCGATTAACAACCTCGTAGCTCACAGTAGATCTGTTTTTTAAGGTTTATCATTAAAAATCAACTCCACTATGGGGAAATGAATGTGATTTTTACTTCTGGAACCTTTTGCAATCTGTAAACTTGAAGATGCAAAATGATAGACATGCGTTGAGCGTTTCTGATTGGTACTAAAAAAATTGATTACAAAACCTGGATTCTCACAGGGATGGGTGATTTTTCATATATAAACAATGAGCCGGTGCGGAGATCAGCTCGAGCTCTCGAGCACCGGCTTATGGGTGTGGAGGGTGTCATGCACGAGCCGGGCTCAAACTAAAGGGATCCACATAGCTACATAAATACACACATCATGATGCAAATGAAGCCGCCGATGTTCACATAACCGGGTGACCGTCGTTAAGCACGCAGACTCGCCCGTCACCTCGGTCGCGATGCCAAATCACCGCATTTCATTTTCACACGCGAGCCTGCAATGGTGATGCGGATGCGCGCGCGTCGCGTCATGTTTACCTCTCAGCCATGGTGCCTCTCGTTCCCGCTTCAACACGCAGCGAAAGTAATCCACAGGACGCCAGTCATGATGATAGAGGCTCCGCCGCCGCAGTCAACGCGAGTGAACGAGGGTCTGGAGCACGCGCTGTCCGCCCGCGTCTCAGTCACCACCGACAACCTGACGTCATTTTGCGCTTCTAGCACGCAGGCGAGCGCGCGGGGAGGCTGAAAAGAGCAGGTTACCATGGCAACCCGAGCACGCCATCTATCTCTCTCCCTCTGTCTCTCTCGTGTGCGCATGCGCGGGCGTTTGTTGAGTGAGTGTGAGGAGCGTGTGGTGAGCTCGAATGAGTTTTCTGCCCGCTGTGGCTTTCCTTATACTTTTTTTTCGCTTTTTAGTTTATTTTTTTCTTGTATGGATATTGCTATTTTAATGTTTGATCTGATTAGGTAGATAAAACATTATTTTGTTTTGGGCGTTTTTTCGCCAGGGGTTCACTGAGGGCATGGCGGCCCAAGGTGCTGACTCGTTCGGTTCATTAACGCGGCGCCATGGAGTTAAAGTGGTGGCCGCTGCAAGTGTGAGATTGTATCTTGGCAATCGGAGAGGTTGTTGGATATAAGAGCATTTGAGCAGCGTCGAGGATGAGTAATGCAGTTGTTTGTTTTTTGAACACTGTAGAAAATGCCAATGATGTGGTGGAAAGAGGAATTGTAATTCGTGGCCTTTTTACACCCGTGCTTCCTCTTTCGACCCCTGCGAAAAAAGTTACTATGTCAAATATCCCACCTTTTATTAAAGATGAGGCTTTGGTTAAAGAATTGTCACGTTTTGGAAAGTTGGTTGCTCCAGTGAAAAAAATCGCGATCGGAAGCAAATCTGAGTTGATTAAACATGTGGTGTCTTTTAGGAGATTCACATATATGATTTTGAGTCAGAACTGAACTTAAATCTGAAACTCAGATTTAATGATTTCGACTACACTGTCTATGTATCTACTGACACTATGAAGTGTTTTGGATGCAACAAAGCCCAATAGTATCCAGCTGCAGACCCGCAGCACCAGCAGCAGTCACAGAACCGCAGCCACAGAACCGGACGTGAGGGGCGGGGCTTATGTTCTTAACAGAGCAGCGCCACCTAGCGTAATTTGCTTTTATTTCACAAGAAACGTCATACTTTATTGTATGCTTGCATCGTATAACGATACATTAAACATTTTAAAACATAAATCGTGTGTAATATAAGTGTATATAGTCATTCTTTTCATTGTATTACACAAGTTATTTCCTGTTAATGATATTAAAAATAATGCTAGGGACTCATGGCCATTTTATATTAAATATACTTTAATCACAAGAATCATGCATTTTTCTAAATGAAAACTAAAACATTTCAATGAAAAACTAAACGCACAAAACACAAACAGTTTATCATGCAATAATATATTGTGAGTACATATATTATACAAACAACTCAACTGCCCTGCTGAAGTGGCTTTGAAGATGAGTTTTTACTTTAACCAACTTGGCTGGCTTAAACACCCTGTTTGAGCAAAAAGGGCAGTGATAATTACTGCAACACTTGTTGCACTGCTGCAGCTCAGGTAATGTGTTGCCACTCTGGATGGTTATGTGTCTCTACAGGAGATGAAAGCACCACACAATTATCTCAACATTGACAGATGGGATTAAAATAACTAAACTATAAGGTAACACTAACTCACAAACAATGCAGAGTAAAGTAAAACAAACTATTTATATATGAATAATTAACGTCTTCAAAACTTCACACAAGGCCCATTTACAACACGTGATCCGAAAATTAATCGAAACATCTGCAGAAAAAAAGTTCTATACAATAAACTATGACAACAAATTGAAGCTTCAAAAAGACAAGGCCAAGCACAAATTAAGTATTTAGCAGATAAACACTTAACTTAATATATATGACAATTATTGACCATATGACAGCAAAAACATTAGAGACTATTCACGTACCGTGCTCTCAGCCATGCTTATCTCGTTGTAAATAACTCCGCCCCTCACTTCTGGTTCTGTGGCTGCGGTTCTGTGACTGCGGTTCTGTAACTGCTGCTGGTTCTGCGGGTCTGCAGCTGGATATATCTCGCTCGACTCAAGTTGCTCACAAAGTGAATGGAAATGTTATGATTACAGTGCTGATGAAATT